AATATCTAAAAACCAGTTGTCTAAAAGCTAATGGAAAAAAAAAATCAAATTGATCAATCTCATTCGTGCACTTGTAATTTAGATGTGTGAGCGAGTGAGAGATATTTACACACCTCATGCACCAACGCACACAATATCTTTTTCGAGATGTGTGATCCAGTGATTTCTTTCAAGGAAAAAATATATTATCTTCGGTTCCTAATTTAAAATTTCAACTTCTATTAAAAAAAAACTTTGTAATTTTGAATTTTCTTTCAAAATAGTTATACATACCCTTTATTTCCATGGCATCTTATATTTGAACTTATGTAATTTAATTAACTAAACATTACGTACACTTCTTATGCCTCAAAACCTAATAAAAATAATGAAATAAATAAAATAATCTATACTTTCACTCAAAGGAAAGCCCTGAATTGCAGTTCATCTTTCTTTCAGATGGAAATTGAATTATAATTTATATACTTTCCTCAATTATAAATATATGATCTAAATGAGAGGTTTTTTTCGATTTTTTCTAAAATTAAACTTTAATTCATTATGTTTCTTAAATTCATAATTATTTTTACAAATCATCTATATTTATTGCATATATTAAAAAGATTTATATTAATGCAAATAACTTCCAATACAAATATTTTTTTATTAATAACTAATTTAAATATTTTTTAATTTATGTAAGTTAATTATCTAATTTCAATATTTAAAATTAGAGGAGCAATTCCCTTTTTCCCCCACAAACATGACACTGTTTTTCAAATATCTTTGTACTACCTCCGGTCCTAATTATAGGAGCTAGTTGACTAATTTGAGGAGATTAAAAAATAAATTAAATTAGTTATTTGTAATAAATAAGTGTTGTCTTTCCTAAAATATCTTTACTAATCAAGTGCATTGTTAAAACTACCACTGTTAGAAGGACTATTTTGAAAAAAAAAAAACATAAATATGATAGACAAATGGATTAGAATCCTATATTTAGGACAAAATAAAAGTCAAACAAGATCTTATATTAAGGACCGGAGATTATACTTTTCACCATACCCAGGCCACCATACTTTTGAGGGTTTTGTGGATAAGTTAAAGTTTAGAGAGAGAGGGAGGATAAAGAATGAGAGGTGTGATACAAGGTTGAAGAATTATTCAGTGAAAATAAAACTAAGGAGCTTATCCACACATATATAAGACATTGTAGTTAGAACATAAGGGCATTACTTGATGTATATTTCGCGTTACCTTATCTTCAAAAATGGGGTGACTTGGAATCCTCTCAGCCATTGAAGCTCTCATCAGATAAACGCCCGCCAGTTGATGATGATGAAGTGTACGTAAGAGTGAGACTATCAGACTACATAGATACAATGTGACAAACCGTTACATGTACATGTGACTTGCATCTTCTGTATGCTCCACTCATGCATCTGTCTTTTTTCTTTTATTCATATAATTTAAATCCACCTATATATACAAAAGCATGTGGACAAAGGATTCAAGCTAGAAACTTCACTCAAGCATAGAGGGTAATACTAGTACAGGGATAGCTACCACTGACTCAAATGACTAAAGCTGGTAATACGAGTTTGATCGTTAGTTACAAGCTAGTCCGTTTGAGGTATTGTCGGCCACTAAATATGGATTTTTTTAGCGGTAATTTAAACATTAATTCGTCACATTATAAAATAAAAATAAAATAGGCCCATAGTCAAAGACACATTAGAAGGTCTTTAAATTAATAAGATGGATATTGCCAAACTTGATCTCGCTCATAATTTGAAGTTATTAGTATATGTCCTTTTAATTAAAAAAAAAGTTATTAAATTCAATAACATCCAAATGAGGTCATTTTTAAAAGATCTATGAATATATTACATGCAAAGGACTTGAAGTTTGGTTAAAACCACACAAAGAAAGAAACGCAATCTTTCTAAAAACAAGCTTTTAGACACACAGTGACACAGAGTCACAAAAAAGATTTGTGTATGCACACATCACTACTCAGCTGTCATACTAGGCGGGTCGCTATCAAATAGTGGAACACAGTCACATGCCTTACAATATCGTAACATGTTTGCGGACCACGTATCTCTTCCATATTTTTTCCAAGCATCAATAGTATTTTACAACATACTCTTCTACCAAATGTTAGAACGAACTAATCCTTCGTAATACGATAAACTAAAATTTGAATCTCTATTAAAAAAATATATTAATATTTAGTCCTTGATAATATTTTGAGTATGATTGCTTTTGACACAGGAAGATATATGTGCATAGGGAAAAAAAAACGACATAGTCTTTAATTTACTCATGTTTTCATATATTGATAAAAACTTTAAAAAAAAATTATAGTTTTCTGTCTCAAATAAGTCAAAAATCGTTTTAATTTTAGGTTTTCCGAGGGAAAGATTTTCGTGTAGTGAGAGTGTTAAAAGGCAGTGAAAGATTATATATATATATATATATATATATATATATTTCTTTGATCAATATTGACTGATTTTCAAGTGCATTGCATTATTTCATATGGATTTTCACTTCAAAAGAGTCCATTTTTTAATTAAACGTATTTTTCAAGCGTTATATGATGAAATTTGAGAAATAATGCCCGCGGTTCAATATATGCGATTGAATAGTGTGGCTTGTACAAATTTTATTATATATAATTATTTATTGATACGGATATATTAATATTTATTTTATAATTTTTTTAATTCTACAATTTCATGAAGGCGTACTTTTCAAATGTTAAAAAGCTGCCAGTTTTACAAAACTCCTGGCATTAGACAAAAGTGTAAATAAAACATTTTTATGTAAATTAAGATAAATTCTTCTACAAATTTATTTTATATATTATAAAATTATTTTTAAAATTATAATTTGGTTTTCATTCAAATATTTTTATGTTTTTTTCTCTGGGATTACTACATCAAATACGTGAAAAGTATCCTATTGCATCCTCACATAAAACATTAAATTATAAGGTTTTCAAAAATTATAATCTCAGTAGAGATTGGAGATATGATAAAAGCAAATACTTACAAAATATTATTTAAAATTTTTTATTTTATTATTTTTATAAAAATATTGTACACAATATATCTTTTTTTTCATTATCTTTTTTTGGCTACATATATGTATCCTTCTATTCTATTAGGGTAATTATATTCGAGACACTATCAGATACTAAATATTACCTCTGATCCTAATTATAAGAGGTACTTAACTAATTTGAAGAGATTAAGAAAATAAATTAAGTTAGTTATTTGTAATAAATAGGTGTTGTCTTTCCTAAAATATCCTTACTAATTAAGTATATTGGCTAGAACTATTATTATTAGAATGACTTTTTTGGGAAAAATGCATAAATATGAGAGACAAAGTGGATTGGGGTCTTATATTTAAGACCAAAATAAAAGTCAAATGAAGTCTTATATTATGGACTGGAGATAGTATAAGAGATTCAAATTTTAGTTAGGCCTCGTTTGGATGTCTCCCCAAACCATGGTTTGGGGAAGAATCAGCCAACACAAAAGGGGAAAATGTGAAACCATGGTTTGGGGTAAAACCACGGTTTCGGTAGAAGTGGTTTGAAGTTGCTTCTGGCTTAAATTTTCCAGACATTGGTGTGGGCCCAATAGCATATAACAAAACAGCCCTCATAATTGACCCCTCACTCTTCATTTCACACTCGGTCCTTCACTATTTAATCTTATAATTTATAAATATATGTATACATGTTAATTAATTATTAATTATATTATCTTATATATTATTAATTATGTTAGTAAAAATTATTTTATTAACAATGTTATTTCTTCAAATCAAAATATATTATAAAATCTATCCCTTATATAATTATCATATTAACTTATGCCTTTTTTAATAATTTGCACATGTAAAAAGTGCTTCTGGTAACAACTATCTAAACACTCTCACTTCTCAAAATCACTTTTTCATAAAATCTACTTTTTTCATAATCTATTCTTCAAAAACTATTTTTCAAATCATGATCTGGTTTCATCTAAACACTTTTTTAGTTAAATAAACTAGTCCTGTTAAGCCCGTTGGGTTTTTTGGACATCATCTTGATTGTTTATTCAAGAGCCCACCATAACATATCCGGTGTTAAATTGCGTGGAGTATGAATCGAATTAGAAAGAACCAAGGGCCCAAAAATTTATTGGGCCTATACATCCAAGCCCAAATCTGTCTTACGACTAAGATCACGATGTTTTCTTTTGCCATCCGCAATACCGCTAAACTTGAACGGGTGTGCGTTATTATAATACTGGTTATGGTTCTTAATATAATATAAGAATTAAATAACTAATTTAAAAAGATTAAAAAATTTATTAAATTAGTTATTTGTAACACATGTATGTTGATTTTTTTAAATTACTTTAATTCAATTATGTACATTGGAGCTACCTTACAATTAATAGAAATATTTTTTAGAATACATTATAAATTTGAAGTAAAAATATATTGATGTTTTATATTTCTGACTATCAACTAGTTTTTATGTTTAAGATTGAGGGTAATATTATGATAATCCCAGAACAAAACAATGAAATACGAGGGAACGGTTTTTTTCCCCTTCACTCACTTTATATCTTATAGAAAAATTTAAGAAGTGAGCCACTTATTTATAACCATGACTTTTTATGAATTTTCTATTCATTAATTAATATTGATTAATTGTCACATGCTGCAAATTTATGGAAATTAATTATACAATGCACGTAATTTAGAAAAATACATTATATACGCATTAATTTTAATTTTAACTTCACCCAAACACACATTGATTTTTTTTTCCATTATTCACCACAACACAAAAAACTTATATACCCGTCATTATGAATACAGAGGGTTAAATTTATAACTTCACGTTATGGGCCTGGGCACGTGCCCTATGACATTGGTATGCTTTCATTTTTTGTTTTTTTTTGAGCTGACATTGGTATGCTTTCATTGGAACATTGAGATTTCACACTTTGCTGAACCAAGCCTCAACCATCAATAAACCCTTTTTCCTTCCTCACGCTCAAGACCTTAGCTTGACGGACCCATATCTCTCTCCGACTTCTGTTATGTCCACCGCTGAAGCCACCGAGAACGGCGCCACCACAGCGTCGGAGTCCCAGCCGGCTGTTGTCGCTTCGGACAATGCCTCCGCCGCCGAACTAGCTTCCGCCACCACCACTAAGGCTGCTGCTGATGCGACCCCCGCCCAGGGCAACCCATCGAGCGACGAGCCCGACTCCGAGCTTCCTAAGGCAGACGAAGCTTCAGCCGATCAGACCGCTGCTACCACCACTAACACTGCCGCTGCCACTCCGCCCGAGAAGCGATGGCCGGGTTGGCCAGGGGATTGCGTGTTTCGGCTCATTGTGCCGGTCCTCAAGGTTGGTAGTATTATCGGTCGGAAGGGTGAGCTCATTAAGAAGATGTGCGAGGAGACTCGAGCGCGCATTCGCGTTCTTGATGGTGCCGTGGGCACTCCGGATCGAATTGTGAGTGTATTTGCATCTGTATTTCTAGGGTTTACTTTTGGTATTTTCCTGATCATTTCTACATTCCAATTTCCTTTCTGCGATAATAAAACACTGGGAAAATTATGTAAATCAAGATTTGTACTTCAATGCTTTTTTCCCCTTGTGTGGTTATTTGTGTACGTTTTGCTAGGGTTTGTACCTTTGATATCTTGCTTAAATTCTATTGTGGACGAAGCGAAGCAGAATAATGTGGATTCATATTGAACTTAGACTCTACACTACTTATCAAGTGACAAATAACAATTTTTCGTTAGGTCTATTCTCTTTTTATCACTGGAGCGTTATGATGATGTTCATTGCGCTTGCTTGCCGTTTGGTTTGATTGATGTACTCTCTTTATCAAGTACTTTGCAACTGGTACTGTTATTTGAATTGATTCTTGTTTTTCGTTGTTCGACTTCAATTTAATTAAAACTTTGTAAATCTCATAAGGCATTTTTACTGTTAAATATTAATTTATTGTTGCAGTTAGCTTTCAAGGTTGGGAATTATATGGATAACATTTATGACGTAGTTGCCTTGTGAGATTATCAGATCACTTGGATACTTTGATAAAGTATTCTCTTCATGTTGCTGATGGTTTTGATTTCATCAAAAATGCTTACTCAATTTTCTTGTACCTGTTGCTTACATGGCAGTAGTAAATTACCAAAGTGGGTGGAAATTGTTCATGTACATTCATGACTAGACCTATTGAACGTTTTCCTCAGATGAGTACCTTCTACTTGTCTGTCTGTTTCTTTCCAATCATTGAATGTTGATAAATTATTCTTCATTTGTTTAGGTACTTATATCAGGGAAGGAAGAGCCAGAGGCACCTGTTTCCCCTGCAATGGATGCTGCAATAAGGGTATTTAAGCGTGTCTATGGATTGTCTGAAGGTGATGGTGAGAATAAAGCATCAGGACCGGCTGGGGTTGCATATGTTTCCGTTCGTCTGCTGGTGGCATCGACACAGGCTATCAATTTGATCGGAAAGCAAGGTTCATTAATTAAATCTATACAGGAGAGTACTGGTGCTTCTGCTCGTGTGTTGTCTGGAGGTATGCTTCTTATTACCGTTATTTAATCATGCATTGAGGATGTTCCTGGCAATGAGTTATCCTGTCTGTTCTTCCACATTACTAATGTTATGTGAAGCCTGCTGTAGTGTATCTTCTGTACTTTCATGTGCTTTGACTGGCTTTTTAGGGAAGATTATTGATATGAGGTGGATTTAAGGGGAAACCCCCCCCCCGGGGGGAACACCAAAAGAAAAAGTAACTGGCAAAATCACTAAGCCTGTTTCCTGGCTTCCACTCATTGATGTAGAATATGGGATATCGGATATCTGAGTACTGAGCAGGTTCTATGGATTGCTTAATGAAGTACTTAAGCATGATAATAATACCGCTCCATCAACAAACTTTTGAGGGAGAGTTCTCCACACTGCTTGGGTTCCTATCAGGTTCTAGGGGAAATATTTCCCCAATTTATTTGTTCCTGGAGAGGGTACAGCTTGCCTATTAGGTTAGGGTTTAGCATCTTGGTTTAGGGTTATTGATAATTCTAAGCAACAGTTGTAACTAGTAATTTTTCCGACCCAATCCATTTGGTGTCTAAATTTCAGGCTGTTAATAATTGTTTGTTTGGTATGTGGATCTAGAATATAGTGCTTCTGCTTACCAAATCATTTTCCTGATAGATGAAGTGCCATTTTATGCTGCTGCGGATGAGAGGATTGTAGAGTTGCAGGGAGAAGCCTTGAAGGTCCTTAAGGCTCTGGAAGCAGTAGTTGGCCACCTACGAAAGTTCTTGGTCGATCATAGTGTTCTTCCCCTTTTTGAGAAAAAAACTGTAAGCTTTTGCTGCTGCATCTCTATTATTTTATTTTCTTTTTGTTTTTTTGGGGCATTCTCGTGCCATGAGATTTGTCATTTATGCTTAAAAGTTCTTAGCAGTGTATTACCAGTTTGCATTCTCTGATTTGAAACTATTTTGTATTCCTAATTTCATGTCGGAGTAAAAAAAGGGGGGGGGTTTATATGTCATGATATTTAGGTTTGAAGGTGCTTAGCCGTGTAGATTCTTGTGTTTTGAATCGTTATTTTGGCTTTTTGTGAGATGATTAATTAGACATTGACGTGTTTATAACCCTCTTATTCAATTTTTTCATTGCCTTGATATGTGTGACTTTCTCTTCTGTTTAAGTACAATGCAACAACCACACAAGACCGGCAAGCAGATGCCTGGGCTGACAAGACATCTCTGCATAATGCTTCGCAAAATAGCATTAGTGTTGATGTTCCTCTTTCAACCAAAAGGGATTCTCTTTTTGTTGAGCGTGAAACTCATTTGGATTCGCAACTCCCATCCTCTGCAATGTCACTCTACGGGCAGGATTCTTCACTTCCTGGTGTTCGTTCTTCAACCCTTGGTCGTGGTGGGGCTCCCATTGTTACCAATGTTAGTATTCTAACTACTCGAATGTTTTATCTGTGTACCATTTAAGTTAAAAGCTTCATTCTAAACAATACCGATATCCTTGATTTCTTATGCTTGTATATAGCAATTTTCAGATTATTTACTGTGTTACTATGTAGCATTCTTATCTTTTGGAAACATTTGATTTAATGTGGCTTAAATTTTATGATTCCAAGATGAACCTTTGACTTATTTTACATGTACTGATTCACCTATAACTTAATTCTTTTCATATGTTTCATTTATTTATCCTTTGACAGGTCATGGTAACTCCAGCTCACCCATTTTATTCCTTTCAATTATCAGGTGATACAAACAATGCAAATACCACTATCCTATGCTGAGGACATCATTGGGATTCAAGGGACTAATATTGCTTACATTCGCCGTACCAGCGGAGCCATACTGACGGTGCAAGAGAGCAGGGTGCCTGATGAAATTATTGTGGAAATTAAAGGCACCACAACACAAGTCCAATTGGCACAACAGTTGATCCAGGTAAGAGAATTGACAGGGCTTTTTCAGCCTATGCATATGATTCTGTTATGATAAGCATAAGATTAATTTCCTACTGTCCTAATTTCCCTAAACACACCTTATGATCAATCTCCAAAGTACCCCTTATTCTCGTACAACTGGACCCAAATAGACCAAACCTTGGGGAATCCATCATTGTCTGGTCCCCGGGTTAAAACATATTGCAAAGATAATTTCTATCGAGGGAATATGTACCTGTATGCCGGAAAAGGTTTGAACTAAAGACGTGAAGTATTTACCTTATTCTCAGTTGACTGAATTCATTATAGTGAGATGAAATTAGCAAGGTCACCTATTTCTGTCCTGGTTACTTGTACAGCTAGGGGACATGTAAGGTCTTATCCGGCAAATATTTATACCAATATTTAGGGTTTGATATCATGTATGAGTGCTGAATGATTTGTTGGCATGCGAATATATGATACCATCCGGGTAAACAAGTTTGCATTTGCTGATAGAAATTCCTCTCTGGTTACAGGAAGTGATAAGCAATCACAAAGAGCCAGCCTCTAGCAGTTACGGTAGGTTAGATACAGGTGGTCTGAGGTCCTCATATGCTCAGTTGGGGGGCAGTACATCTTACTCGTCTTCTTCAGTTTTCCTCACAGCCCTACCCAGGTTATGGCTCTTCTGGTTTAGGAGGCTACAGTACTTTTAGGCTCTGAAGTTTTCTCTCTGAGCTCACGAGTTGCTCTATTTGGGCTTAGTTTCTTCCTAATCAATGATTTGAGGAAAACTAATGTACTATGACTCAAACAATGTATAACTGTGATAACAAAAGCCTTTTTCCCATTGTCTTTTATTGTGCATAGTTTTGTATTGATTTACAAGTCTTATGGTGGCTTCCACATTTATAGGGTGATTAAATTATATTTTCATGATTATGATCTTTAGTTTTGCTATTTCACATAGATATCATGCCTTTATCATTGTGTTTTGGTCCCTATCAAGGTAATGATGCAACTTCTTAAAAAAAAAAAAAAACCTCCCTTTTGCCGACAAATTGTTTGTTCCTTAATTGTTAGTGAAATTCTTGTAGTTTTTGTTTGTTTTTTTGGATGAAATAAGTTGAAACGCTAAAAAGTTTATTCAGCTATGCCAAAACTTGGATGGGTTAAGCCCTTTGCCCTCAACAGGTGGGTCGGATTTTTCTGACAACATGCCAATAGCCTGTTTATTAGCATGAATACTTCCTGTTAATTGGGAAATTTAGCCACCTTGTAATTTTAAGCAGTTAATGTGTTTTTTTAATTTTTGAAAAATTAACCACATGAAATTCTAGGAAAAGAACTCACTGAAATAGTACTATTAAAAAGACTTTTTCATTTGAAAGATTAATTATTTTAATTTTAATATAATATATAAAAATAAGATTTACTTATTTTGAGAATCACTTATTTAATTGAGAAGGGGTGCTGTCACTTACGCTTACCTAAATTATTATGACTTAATCTTCAGTGCTTTCTAATGGACTAATATTCTATTGAAATGAATACTTAAAAAAAATTAAATACCTTCACGAAGGGGGAGGAGAATTATTATTGTTAGCCTAAAAATAAATAAATTCAATGAATCCAAAGCCTCCGAACCGCGTAAAGTGAATATACAGTTCGTTATCCAGCTGATGAAGAAAAGAGAAGACAGTTCGTTATTATCCTCAAAGTGTTCTCACATTTAGGCCAACCGTTTGGCTAGAGGATTCGCATATCATCTTCCAGAAGAAGACGAAGAAAATGCCGACTTTGAACTTATTTACGAACGTGCCTGTGGATCCCGTCGTCGCTTCGGATATTCTCAGGGACGCCACCAAAGCTGTCGCTAAAATCATTGGCAAGCCTGAATCTGTAAGTCTAACTTCTTTTCTTCTTCGCTCCTCCTTTTCATTCTTCTCTTGTTCTCTTTCTAGTTTTAACTGTAAAAGTAATCGGAAGCGACGTACTGAATCATAGTAGTATGAGCTCAAAATCGCGCCTTTAAGATGTTCGATAGAATGTTCGATCTCGTTGAGTATGAGTATAAAGTAGTTTGAGCGTTAATCTATTGGCACTTGGCAGAAACATGTTGCTAGAAGATAATTGAAAATTGGGTCGGGTGGGTTTTTGGTGGAATTTTGTAAGGTTGTAAGCGTGCAAGGGGTGAAAAAGATGGTAGAGCTGGATGACTTGTCAAAAGACCATTACTTTTGTGTTGTAGTTAATTCAAGTTGAACCTGTTATTTTAGGAAAAGTGGGGATTATTTTCTTTTTTTTCATCCAAACAAACTGATACACTTTTGTCCCTCTTTATGCTAGTTTCTAAAATGGTTAAAAGCTATAATCCCGTTTCAATGAGAAAAATCAGTTTCTTGTGTTTCTTGGCGGAGTCACTTGACATCTTTCTGTTGTTACTCTATTATAATCATTGTCGTTAGTCTGGCTTTGGTGGCTTCACAAGTATAGTTTGAGCATTCTCACTTATATGTAAATCATAACTCAGTTAAACCTGTGTATACCCTGGTTTTACCAATGTAATCTATATAAATCATAACCGGTGAGATTAATAAACAGCATTTGTGTGCTCTTCATTTTATTCAGATTCTAGCTATGGCCATCCCAAACAGCATTGCTGATACATAGTTTGATATACTTGTGGCTTTTCTTTACCTTTTGCAGTATGTGATGATTTTGTTGAATGGGCAAGTACCTATTGCATTTGCTGGAACTGAAGAGCCAGCTGCGTATGGAGAACTGATCTCCATGGGGACTTGGTCCAAGTGTCAATGGAAATCTGAGTTCAACAATTGCAGAAATTCTTGAAACTAAGCTATCAATTGATAGCTCTCGTTTCTATATCAAATTTTATGATGCTCCGGTAATTCTTTTGTTCTGTCCTATGGTAGCTTTTTTAGGGTTTTCAGTATGTACTTGCCATAGGAAGAATGGTATAACATGAGATTGCTCTTGAAGGCATGTTTGGGTTACTTTTGTTTGGCGGCCTCGAAGTTCGCCAAATTGGAGATAAAAGAGAGGGATGATGTTGGGGGCTTAACTGAACATTTTTTTTCCCATTATCCTCTTTTCCTTAGTAGCAACACTCACTAAGTTTTCAATGAATTTCCCTTCCCTTCCTCTCCATTGTCATCCATCCAAACATAGCCTAAATTATGGGTTTTTATGAATAATGTGAATAATAGTTGTGACTAGCTTTCACCAGTCACCACTTTATCTTGTTCGATATATTCTTATTTGATGTAAAGTGATTTTGTTTTATATATCATTAGTTCTTTATTCTCTCCACATGATGGTGGTTTGTCAGCAATAATTGTTCAGATAGTTCTCTTTCCACCAGCTATATGCCCTATTTATTGATTTGGAAAACTCTATAAATTAATGATCAAGTTTTTTTCACTGCCTGTCTCATTTTGAGAATGCAAGGAAACAACCTTAAACATGCCATGAGTAGTCTTCTCAAATCTGCTCAAAGTTACTATCAATTTTTGCAATCTTAAGGTCTTATTATATTTTTCTGATGCAGAGATCATTCTTCGGGTTCAATGGCTCAACTTTTTGATCAAGCATTCTTTCTAGGCCGTATGGGAGATCTTCCATTGAAATAGAATCGGGTAGGTTCATCTTTTGGTAAATTCTGTGAAATTTGAGTGCTTTGGTTTTAGTAGTGGATGAAACATAATCATGATTATCATTGTGTGAAATGTATCTCTTCCTTTGTCTTTCATCCTGATCTTTCTGAAGTGCAACTCTGTAATTTATTGTTCGTTCTTCCTGCCATTTTTACTTGAATGTTCAAGCAGTTTTCTTTTCTTTTTTTTTAATTAAAAAAAACACCTTGGTGCTCTTTCATGGGCGGATAACAAGCGTTGAATTTTTTTTCAAAAAAGATAATATTATCTGATAGTGATTTTGATTAAAAAAATAAAGTAGAAGATTTATTATCTCTATATCTTTCATGTGCCCTATTTATCTGGTTTTGTTCTCTCATTCTCTTTATACGACTGATTTTCACATTATGTATCACAATGTTCAAATTTTCGTTTCTGATTCTCTGTCAAGTATTCATATAAAACTTTATTGTGTATAAAATATTATAACTTCAATGTAATTTTCAAACAAACCCATGCATAAAATTAATTCTAGTTTTGTGGATACAAAAATTAATTATAGTTTTATTAATGTAAGATATATAACGGATCCATGAGTGTATGAAATGCAACTTTTATTATTACTCAGCAATGACAAAGCGCTCACAGCGATTACACGTGGCTTTTAGACATTGGAAAGAACATTAACTCTAAGACTAAGTCATCTGAAGACTCTTAATATGAGTGATAAAGAAAGATAAGAAGAAGACACAGACTAGTGAACCGACAAGAACCCCCTAACTAATTAGACTCTTTTTTTTTTTTTTTGGGTGATTACATGCTCATTGGGCTTTCAAGATCATTGAGTGCCGCAATGGCTGCTTGGATCTTTATCTGTACAACATCTTTCTCTTCCTCATCCGCCTGAAAACACAACGGAAACAAGGATTTTAAATTTTGATTTTCATACATTCATTAACCATGAAATACTTGAGAATTTTAGTATATATTATTTCCATAAGATAAGGGATATATAAATAAATAAACATCATTTCGAGATGTGCATTAGTTATATCAACTAAAGCTAACCAGCTAGCATTGGATTCAAATTTCTCACCAAACCAGCTGATGATTATAACCCTTCAATTTCTTGCACGTTTCAAACCAATTTTCTTTTGCAATTGATGTGACTTTTATATATAGTGCTGGCCACATAAATATTAATTCACAGTTAATTAATAGTCACACATACGGCTTTGACTTTAGGATGACAGCAGAACATAATCAGATGCCTAAATCATCGTCGATTTCATCTTATTTTGATTTGCTATTAACACGGGTCACTTGCACTAGAATGTAATTATACTGAATTGACTTTCTTGGCAGTTATGTTGCAAGAAACCTCCAAAATAGTACTAGTACTTTGTGGAAAAAAAATTAGTTGGGTACACAATAAAAAAATAATTGAAAATGAATTATTAACTAATAATTATAAAATATAATAAATATTTTTAAAAAACAACTCTAGAAGACTAGTAACTGGGAAGACCAAGAAGCTGAACTATTGGTAATTTAGTTCATTACTCGATGAACGTCGAAAGTCAAATAAGCGAAATAAGGGTCAATGGGATTGGTCTCCGTAGAATCCGGGGCCCAGCTAAGCGACAAGGCGTTTTTGCACTTGAAAACGACAGCAGATATGAAAATTCGTGGAGAGACAGAGAGAGAGACGATGTCAGGGAGATGTTTCATGGGATCTGGAGGAACATGACAACACGAAGTGAAGACGATTCAGAAGCCTGCATTCTTGAGAATGAGGATCACGTTTTGGAATTCAAACCAATTTTCCCATGTTCCTTCATTGAAGGAAACGAGTGGTGTTAGAATTTTCCAGGAAAGTCCATAAATTTTCCTCGTGTGAGAAATATGTTTAATTACATATGTAGTGTTTTCTTAATCCCCCCACGAGTTTGAAACTCCGATCAAATCAATTTAGCTAAAAATTCCTAACTTGTTCATCTCAAGTTTGTAGCTCCATCAGTTTCATCTCCCATTTAGATGAAGTATTTAATTTGTGAGATTAAGATGAATTTATAAAGTTACATATATATATCATAATTAATAACCTCAGAGTAATCTAAAACTAGCATGATCGAACTTATGACTTTTCACTTATAGGAGAGTTTTCATACTACTAAGCCATGAGGTAAGTGGCAATTATGGGTAAAGGTTAAACATTCAACATGTAGAAAAATACAATCCTACATACTACTCCTCTGATCCTTAATATAAGACCTAATTATTGAGTTGATTTTGAGTCTAAAT